TAAACTACACAGCTTTAATTAAACACTAATGAATGATACAAGAGAATGTATACAATTATATACAAATGTGTTCAGATACAGGCAAAAGCCTCTCGCCTCCCCCCACCCCTCTGCAACTCCCACAGCACTTCCCTGAGCCTGGGCAGAGTCCCGAGGAATTCTGGAGCTGCTGCTGGAGAGAGCACAGAGTGATGAGGGTCAGGAGAGCTGGAGGCTGGGGGTCGATGGTGAGGGATGGACGGAGTCCTCCCCGGATGCCGGCCATGGACGGAAGAGAAGGGAAGAAGAAGAAGGAAGGAAGTTGTCTTCTGTGATCTCTGACCTTCCTCTGAGCTTATGTAGATATATGGAATGGAATATCTCTGGCCAGTTTTGCTGTCTGTCTAACTCAGCCTCCTATGGGGGGGTCACAGATCTCCCCGTAGTGTCTGAGCTGGCAGAGTGAAGGTGCCACCTTGAAGACTCAGCAGTTAGAGACACATTCCAGTGTCTTATCAGCCTAGCAGAACACACTGTTGCTAGTTAGAAGAAAGCTTACTGAAGGAAATGAAAATCAGTAAAAAGGAAAATTGGCTTAATCCTGGCTCAAACCAGGACAGGAACCCAGTCTGCATCCTCTTCCTCCCCTCCAGACTCCTTCTTCTCAGAGAAGAAGAGCTCTTCCACATGTATCTGTGGGGTTAGTGGCCGGGGTTTGGCCGTGGTTCGCCGGCACGTCTTGGGCTGCACACAGAAATTCCAAGGGTTAAGGCTCCAGAAGAAACAACAGTGGGTTGACATTGTATGAAGGCACTTCAGAGTCCCACCAGCATAGCCCCAATTCCTGTCACACAGCCAAAAGGCTGGAGGGGTTGAGGAAGAGACAAAAGACCCTGTTGTCAGGGGTTAAAATTCAAGCTGTCGGTTTAAACTGCTGATGTTGGTGAAGATACAGAGCTGATAAATGCTTGGAACATTGATGGCTTTGTGTCAGTCTTGGCCAAGCAGCTCATAGAATGGTGAAGGTGGGAAGAGACCTTAAAGATCATCCAGTCCCAACCTCCTGCCTGGGCAGGGACACCTCCCACCAGCCCAGGCTGCTCCAAGCCCCATCCAACCTGCCCTTCAACACTGCCAGGGATGGGGCAGCCACAGCTTCCCTGGGCAACCTGGGCCAGGCTCTCACCACCCTCATGGTGAAGAATTTCTTCCTAATGTCTAACCTAAACCTCCCCTCTTTCAGTTTAAAAACATTATCCCTTGTTCTGTCACTACCCTCTCTGGTGAAAATTCCCTCCCCAGCTTTCCTGGAGCCCCTTCAGGTACTGGAAGGTGCTCTATGGTCTCTCCAGAGCCTTCTCTTCTCCAGGCAAGGATAGATGTTGCACTCACTGCAGAATAAAGAACAAAGACACTTCCTTTAATGTAATTTAAAATATATAATAAAATTGAATGGTTGGGTTGGAAGGAACCTTAAATATTGGCCAGTTCCAACCCCCTGCATGGGCAGGGACACCTCCCACCAGCCCAGGCTGCTCCAAGCCCCATCCAACCTGCCCTTCAACACTGCCAGGGATGGGGCAGCCACAGCTTCCCTGGGCAACCTGCTTCAGTGCCTTCCTACCCTCCTGGATCCTTCTTTTTTCTACTGGATGTCAAATAAATTGTACTGACCAATGAAATCACTTCTTTGTTTTTTTTGTAGAACCTCGTTCTCATGGCAGGACAAACTTCATTCAGAGAGATGAAAGGAGTCTCAAAATGCAAGAACACCTGAAGAAAAGACTAAAAGACAGACAAGCTAGTGGTCATACTAACAATAAACTTAACAGTCCTCCATCTTCACCACATAAAGTTGTTAATTCTTCCAATGCAACAATTCAGAATGGAAATGGAAAGGGACAGCAAGGGGCAGGAGGACCACTAAAGCAGAAGCAGATAGGAAAAACAAAGGGCAGTCCAGACCCAGAGATGGGAGGTAGGTTACACTGAAAGCGTAAAGTAAATCTAAGTTCTTTTGTAATAGAAAATACTGTCAGTTCGTTGCAAAATGGTTTCTGAAAAAATGGAATCAGTACATTTCTTGCTATTCAGGGTTAGAGAGAGCCTGAAATACTTCCCATTTTTTTCCACTTTTCCTTTAGAAATAATAGTAATATCCAGTTTGTTCATTTGAGATTTATCAAACAAGGTCTTCAGGAAGGTTTAATTTTAAACCTTTTGTTTACTTCTGTGCCTTTCCTGACCTGGGACTGATCCATATTCCAAGTGAGGATGAATAGAGGATGAACTGTGGGAACTTCCATCAAAGAGTTCTGGTGTCATTATCTGTGATACTTTTCAGATAACCAGGAGTTACTGAAATAGGTTTGAGCAACTCTGTACAGGTTTTGTGTCAGTTTTACTCCAATTCAGTATATTATTTTGCTCAAGTGGATGCTGGAGCTTCTAGATAGCTTATGGCCATTCACTTCCATGTACTAAAATGTCTTGTGGACAATTATCTTTGTCTTTCCTGTTGGTTGGAAACAGTGTTCCTGAAATGCAGATTCTTATGCTGATTCCCTAAGTGCTTTGTGCATCTTTTAGTCCTTTTTGTGTGTCTCTTAAATTAAGGGGTCATGTTAGGCTGCAGGGTCTAGTCCTCATCTGTGTCACTGTTGTATTTAACTCCTCTGTTAGGCAAATAAGAGAAATCTGACTGGATATCTTGGGAAGTAAATCGAGGTGGAAGCTTTTATCCAGCTTGATTCAAGGATGAAAAATACACTTGATTAAAGATTTGTCATAATAAAAGTATACTGAGAGGGGAAATTTTTACTGGCAAGCAGAATAATGTCCTGAATGGACCCAGATCGTTGTAAAGGCAGGATTCAGTTTGCAGATGTGAACTTTTTGGTACCTGCAGGGATTTTTAGTGTGCAGTTCTGATCAGGCTGCTTCCAGATTGTGCCTAGACCAAGTGTTTTGCAATAGAAACTCAAGGCAGACACATACAATAGAGAGATAAGATCTTATTGTCACTTTTTAACACCTTGCCTTTTTAGGGGGATGTTTTTTTGTGTTGTAAAATACAATCCATTTATGCTCAGATTAGGAAAATATCCCCTTTGTGCAGGATGTACTAAAAGGCTTTTTGTAACACTGTTAGTTTTGGATAGTTCATGTTTCTACCCCTCAAGCAGCCAAAACAAACAGGGGAAATGAACTTTGCACAATACGTACTATTGTTAAACTCTTCACGAGGTGAACTCCATCTCGTGGTGGCATTTTTGGTGACAGGCTGGTTTACTCTTGGGGTTTTCAGTAATCTGTTTTGTATTGGAAATTGCAGAATCTGACACAGAATCCAAGAAATGTGATACTCACTTGAGCATTGGCAAGCCAGTTGTAAGTATTACCCTTCAAATACCATTCTTTTCTCTGCATATACTTTCTATAAAATGATGTGTCTCATTGATCTCTCTTTCTTTTTTTCTTTATTTTTTTAATAGAGAAAATGTATTTTAGTTGTCAGAGTTTATAGCTGGGAAAGGGCAACCATGCTATGGAAACCCTCTTGTTTCTCAACTGTCTGACTTAGTTTCCCAGCCTGAAAGCTGAGGGTATATCCACTGTTGAAGTTATCTTGTGTACTTGTGAGGGCTTTAGTGCCTTGCAGACCACTGCCTGCTAAATCTGTAGAAGTCTTTCCAATCTTGGAACCATCCTTTGTTCATAGAGAATTCAAGAATATTTGGAATAGATTTTTTTTTTTTAAATAGGCCATCTTTTGATGTTTAGAAATTGGAGCAAATATTTAGACTTATTTAGGAGGTTGGAGTCTGGTGACTTTAAATGTCTAGAACTGCTCTGGTTTTTTTTTGGTGCTGAGGATGCTTAGTGGAACTGCTCTGCAGTATCTGTACAGTAAGCACAGGTTGTGTTCTTTTTCTCCAGCTTTCTAGCTGTTCTTTATTCCAGCAGTATTGCTGCTTCTCACATCTGTAACTTAACTTTGTGCTGTGCTGACTTTGTCAGAGAAAATTTGGAGAATGGGAATTGAGCAGCAAAAAAAGACTCAGACCAAAAGTTTGAGTTGTGAGCACTGAATATCAGAGCCTCTTGCTGTCCTGCATCTTAGTGGGGAAAAAATATTATGTGAGGGAGCTGCAATACAATTAGGAAGTTAAGCTTTCTGAGTGTGCCTAATTGGAGATCTGATGCCAGTGTTCAAGACTCCAAAGCTGCAAATTTGCTCCAGACAAGTGGTGAAAACAGGGCAGGTGACATGGATGTTTTGTCTTCATCCACTGAGACAACACAGTGTGTCTGTGAGTTTGGGCAGTGCTGGAAGGGAACTCTTTGAATGTGGTATTTTAGAAATGAAAAGAGGAAATCATTTAAATTCAAGTCATGACTCAGTATTTCCACTACAAAGGTAGAGAATTCCTCCAGTGAGGAACTTCATAGGCAAACTAGCAAGACCGTGTTATTGACTAATCAACCTTTTATTACAGAAAGCAAACTTACTTGCATTATTTATGCTTTTAATAGGTTTCTGATATACAAGCAAGATCAGCCGTTCTGTCCTGGAATCTCCCAGTTAGTTCACAGAATGGAGAGAGCCATAGTCATAGTCCAGCAGCATTTACATTTGAAGTAGCAATATCCAACAGTGGTAAAAATGGAAAATTTAAATCTGTCTATGTGTAAGTTTAGTTTCTTCCTTTAAGCACAATATTTAAAACCATTAACCAATCAGCAATCTCTCTATCAGGAGCTGTTTGTTGACTTGCAGACCTACCTACTTCACATGAAATAAATGTTAAGTAATATCTCTAAGAGTTACATGGACAATGGAAAATGGGAAAGTTAAATGTGCTCTACATGGTTTTGCTTTTCAATAAGCTTTTATCCTCTGCAGTGTAAGGGAAAGCTGTAACTCCTGGTTGTTGTTTTTCTCCTTTTCACAGTGGGGAAGAATTAACAATTACACTTCCTGATCTCAGACCAGCCACTGATTATCATGCCAGGTATGTTTCTGGGAATGAAATACTTCATGCTTTTGTTGAGATGTTAGTTATGAAACTGCTGTGGCTTCATGAAAAAGCTGTGATCACAAGGAACCTAAGACATACTCTGCAAAAATACTCAGCAACAGCACAGCTGCTGTTGCTATCCAAATTCCCAGTTATCTTCTCAGTTGATAAAAATGTCACCTCCTTTTCTTCCCTGCTACCTCCTCTGTCTCTTCATGTTTCTCAAGTGCAAACTTTAAGTTATCCTGTGTGGGTATTGGTTCAGAACAACCAACACTGGACTCAGTGAAAGAGATGGTTGTAGGCTGCAGGCAGCAGCACATGATTTACCCTAGAACATGGATTTGCAAGTCTGACTTGTCAGCTTGATTTTCAAACTGCAGCAGTGCAAGAAAGGAAGTGCAAACTGGTTGAGGTGGGGAGAGGTGAGATGCTGTGTTGCAGGAGAACAAGACGTGACATCCAGGAGTTGCCCTGCAGAGTAAATAAGCATTATGGGAGGTGTTAAACTGGTCAGGAAAAAGACAAGCTGGTTAATCAAGCCAGGAGAACAATGTGATCCAGTAGCAGAAGAGAGAACATCAATATGCCCAAATGGAAACAGGTTTGAAGCCTTGTTGAAGCAAACTCCAGTTCTTTTAACAGCAGAACAGCTCTGTGTGTGTTGGCCAGTCAGCACAGTGTGGTGTGTGCTTGGTCCCTGGTGTTGCTTTCCATACAGACCAACATTCTTGTACCTGCAACTCATTTAATAAGAGGGATAGTATTTCTGAGAAGTTGTGTCATTGCTTTTCAGAAACAAACATCAATGAGCATGGCTGTTGTAGAGGTTCTGTCCCATTGAAGCACTTAAACTGATAATCACAGAATCACAGAATGTCAGGGGTGGGAAGGGACCTCTGAAGATGATGGAGTCCAACCCCTCTGCCACAGCAGGACCAAAACCAGGGCAGGTCACTCAGAAAGGCATCCAGACAGGGCTGGAAAGGCTCCAGAGAAGGAGCCTCCACAGCCTCTCTGGGCAGCCTGTCCCAGGGCTCTGTCACCCTCACAGCAAAGAAGTTCTTCCTCATGTTGAGCTGGAACTTCCTGGGCTCCAGTTTGAATCCATTGCCCCTCATCCTGTCCCAGGGCACAAGTGACAAGAGCTTGTCCTGCCTTCTTGCTGCCCTCATGTATTGATAGACATTGATTAGATCCCCCCTCAGCCTTCTCCTCTCCAGCCTGAACAGCCCCAGGTCTCTCAGCCTTTCCTCATAAGGTTCCAGTCCCTTCATCATCCTTGTAGCTTCCCTTGGGCTCTCTCCAGTAGATCCCTGTCCCTCTGGAACTGGGGAGCCCAGAACTGGACACAACACTCCCAGGGAGGTCTCACCAGGGCTGAGCAGAGGGGCAAGAGAACCTCCCTCAAAACTTCACTTTATGGCCTGCACAGCTGAGTTAGCCCCTCTCAGTGCCCCTCCTCTTGCTCAACTAAGTGTTGTCCACATCTCAATCTCAAGGTCTTTTTGGTGAAAGGTTAATTCCAAGTCAGGTGTTCTGTTACCAGTCAGTAACACCTGCTGTAGTTTTCATCATCCCTCCCACTTACATTTCACCACTACAATATTTCCACTGTGATAGATGGTAAAAGAAGGATGCCAGGTGGAGTCCTGGCACCTCCATCCCACTGCTCTGTCAGCTTGCCCTGTCTCCCTGAACATAGAACAGATAGTAGTGCTGCTTATGATGTGGGCATCAGGTACTGGAGCCTGGAGCAATACGATAAACTCACTTTTTGTGATGAAAAGGCATGAAATTGTTGTCTTTTGGAGTCAGTGATCTGAAAGAAGAGTGATCCTTCTGTTCCAGAACGTGAGCAGGCTGGTCTGGTTTTGCTGTATCTTGTGATTCAGTGCATTTCTAAAGCTGACAGCTCTGTCCTTAAATTTTCAGGTGTTAACACAATAGCAACATAATTAATTGTCCTTTGTTCAGAGTTTCAGCAACCAGCAGTTCCATCAAAGAATCCATTTCAGAATTAGTGAGTTTCACTACAGAAAGTTGTGAGCCCGACTGTCCCGCTGCACCCAAGCTGATTAACAGAACCAAGAACAGCCTGAGCCTGCAGTGGAAAGTAAGTGCCCCTGTGGGCTATCTTTAAATTAACCTTGTCAAAAATTGAGTGTGTACTTTAGGTGTTGGCTTTTAAGCTGCTCAGTCAAGACTGAAACAATATTTGTTTCTTCCTCTTTCTCTCACCACGTCGTTTCTTGCCTGTGGTGTTAGAGCGATAAGAGTTGGTGGCAGCTCTTTGTGTATGAACTGAGCAGCAGGGAAGTTTTCTTCTGAACTGGCAGCATAGGAAAGGATAAAGCACTTCTATTTTTGCTTGGGGTTGATAAATAGATGCAACTTGAGGTTATAATTCAGAGTTCTCAGAGTTTCACTAAGCAGTTTCCTTGCCGAGGTTGGAGATGTAACTTATTGAATGTGAAGACTTGTTGGTAACCATGGTTTTGTGTGTCTTCCTGTTCATGCTATGACTGTGCTTATACCTGGAAAATGATTTAAAGCTAAATGATTTTAATTAGTTGAATTGTTTGTATAGTCTGTGCTCAGAAAGGAATTGTTCCCAGATGGTGCATCATAACAAGCACAAACATTGCTTGTCTGAATTCTTATGTTCCTTAGACAGATACTGAACACACAGTGTAAGGACACAAGCAAAAAAGCTGTAAAACCAGAATTTGCATTATTTACACAATAAACAGTTCATGTTAAACTGGTTTTAGAATTATTAGAAGTAGTGTAGCAGCCTGGGGAGCCATCAGGAGGAAGGAGTTAAACCTTTGCACTAGCTGCTGGTTTCTACCCTGTCTCACTCCCTTCTGAACACGTGTGTCTGTGCCCACAGCAGAGTTTCAGGCTGGCCAGGTGTGTTTGTGGAAGGGAAGGGAACTTCTTTGTAGCATTTCAGCTCTGCATTAGATACTTTGCTTTAAAATGGAGTTGGGATCTATGATATATTCAGGTTTTAACATGTTGGGGTTTTTTAATTCATGAAAAGATTGATAAACTAAAACTATTTGATTTTAACCTTTTTCATTGTGTCTTTATTTTCAGTCCTCAAATGACAATGGTTCCAAAATAACTAATTTTCTTTTGGAGTGGGATGAGGTAAGTCATAATGACATCTGTAGGCCAATTATACTTAAAAATACTTCTTGCCTAGGTACACCAGCTATTTCCAGTGTAACTGCCCAGACAGTTTGAAACAGACAAGCCAATTAAAAAGCTGGACTAAAACCACTAGCATTGCAGCAATTCAAGCAGACAGTCCTTTGAGATCCTCCAAGAGGACTGTGTAAAACTCCCTCGTTGGGCTCTTGCCATTCAGACCTTCATTAATTCCTAATCTCTGCTTCAATGTAGGAGCATTTGTTGTTTAACTTGAGTAGCTGTCACAAACATCCCCCAGCTTTTGAACTCTGTACTGAAACGTGTTCCAAAGTGATGAAAAAATGTGGGTTTTGTTTTCAACTGCAGTCTTTTACTACCATTTTGTCAAAGCTAAAAACCTCCCAAAGTGTGTTTTGTTTTCAACTGCAGTCATTTAACTACCATTTTACCAAAGCTACAGGGCCAAAAATACACCAGGTGTCTCAATCAAATTGTGATTTAATTCTCAGGAATGCTGGGGATTGCTGCCAGTGTGGCCATGAGGACATCAGCTTGTTACATTCTTTAGGCTTCCTCATTTATGAAATTACTTTCAAAGGGAGTGAATTGAAATGGAGGAAAAATTAAAGTGAAGAAGTTGAGCTTAGCAGGGAGCAGAGAGTCCAAAAAAAGTTAACTCAGGTTGTTCTCACCTTTTTTTAAAGGGGAAGAATGGAGCCTTCAAAGAATGCTACTATGGGCATCTGAAGCAGTATAAACTGACCAAACTCTCTCCTTCTACAAAGTATTCCCTCAGATTAGCTGCTAAAAATGATATTGGGATGAGGTAATGAACACAATGTCTCACACCATTGATACTCTCATCAGCTACACCTGCAGTTGTTAATATGTTTTTAAATGCCTTCCCAGTGGGTTCAGCGAGACAGTGACATACTACAGAGCAGGAATTGTCCCACCAGCTCCAGCACCCCCCATGCTGGTGGAAGCAGGAGTGACCTGGCTGTCCCTCAAGTGGAGCCCACCCAACGGGGTGTCTTCAGATGACTCCCTCACTTACACTTTAGAGATGGAAGAAGAAGGTTCTGTGAGTGCTGGGGTTTTGTTGTAGCTGTAAAAAAGCCTGATAGGCAGTGGGGCTTCAAGAAAATAGAACTCTGTACTTTACTATCAAATGCAGTGCTTGAAAAATAACTGCAACAGTTGGCAAGAACTGCACGTGTTCATGCAACAAAGCTTAAAAAAACATAAATAATTGATCAGCCTGATCTGGTTTTTTGTTTTGTTACTGGATTTTGTCTGTTTTTTTTGTTTTGTCAGTGACTGCATTTGTTCTTATTTTCCCTCCTTTGCAGGGTTATGGCTTCCAGCCACAGTACAATGGAGATGAACTCTCATGCACTTTAAGAAATCTTAGGAGGAGCACATCCTATAAGTTTAGGGTTTGTACTATGTTTTGTTTCTAATTTGGTGGTGACTGGGGGCTTTTCCAGAGTCTGAGCATTTTCATACAGCTAAGGCACTTCCTTTGGAGGCAGCAGAACCTGCAGTACTTCTGTTGCTAGAATAGTTTTTTATGGAATCATAAAAAAGTCAGATTTTTTTGCACTAATGTTGTTTTTTTAAACTGTTGCCTTTTCTGTAGTGGTTTTGGTCTGGCTTTTTCATGGCAGAACTTGATAAATCAGCAGGGTGTTACTTGCCATGTGAGTCAAGCATTTATGTTGTGTTCCATTCCTTCCTGAAACAGCTCTTTGCCTACAACAGTGAAGGAAAAAGCAGCCCTAGTGAGGTGGTGGAGCACAGCACCAGTCCTGACAAACCTGGACCACCAAGTAAACCAGTTGTAAAGGGCAAGATCCACTCCCACAGTGTGAAAGTGACGTGGGGTAGGTGACCTCATGCTCCTTGAGAGCTGCTTGTGTAGGTACAATCACTCAGCAGAGCAGGTTGAAAACCAAACAAACTCAGGCTAATTCATTTGCCTCAGCAGAAACACTTTGCCTCACTAAGTACTTGCAACTTGGGTTGTTTTGGGGCTGTAGTACCAAAGTAATGTTTTCCATCATTCCTTTTAGAGAAGCAGTCAAAGCTTGTAAGAGTCAAAGTCAAAGTTGTAAGAGCCTCAGTCTCTAGATTTGTGTAAATAATTCTTATGTGCTTTTAAAAAAGTACAAGGTGATACCTGAAATTGGCAGTATTTTCCTAGTGACTCTTCTTCCTGATATAATCATGATTAATGTTGTTGTCATGAAAATAATGTTGTTGTGGCCCCAGGAGCTCCCAGTTTTCTGTCTGACTTGAGCTTTCCACTCAACTCTGTTCTACAGTCAGTGACTGTGCTCTCTGGAAGAGCTGCCAACAGAATAATGCATTGCTTTTCAATCTGCTGCAGTTGATTTGAAGATGTTGATTTCTTTCAGAACCACCCAAAGATAATGGAGGATCAGACATTTCAAAATACTTTTTGGAGATCTCAGAAGCATCACTTGGTAAGGAGTCACCTCTCAGCACTAACTCTTAACTCTTAACACTCACTAACACTTACTGCTTTAGCAATGACTCCTCTCTTTTCACCCGTGTATATATTGTGCTGTACCTGTTTCCTGCATGATTGACCATTAAAATTTGATTCTGTGGCTTGATAATCTTAATAATTGTGTGAGAATTTTCAAGGCTGATTTCTGCAAAGGTTGTGGAGTGCCAAGTGTGTTCTTCCTTTCCTCAGGCAGCAGGTGGGACACCATCTACAGTGGTTCCCAGAGAGAGCACGTGTGCGATCATCTCAAGCCTGGCACTTCGTACAGAATGAGAGTTCATTGTGTCAGTAAAGCTGGGGAAAGCCAGGTGAGAAAAAGGAGAATGGAGTTTGCTTTCTCTTTTTATGTTGTAGTGAAATGTTGCTTTGTGTTTTCCATTCTAACCCTTGTGTGTGTTGCTGCCAGGCTTCTGATGTTACAACTGTTACGACATCGGCGGTTCCTCCAGGGCCCTGTCATGCTCCGTGCCTGGCAGGCAGAGCTAAGCCCAAGGAAATCACTTTGCAGTGGGGTAAGCTCCAGTCTTTTATGAGCAACATGTTTTCCTGAATTTGAAATGTCAGAACAAAAAACTGAAAAAGCTGCAGACTCTTCAGTGTCCCCCCATGCTGACTGCCTCATTACCAACACGCATTTGGCGATTCAAAAACCAACCCTCCTTATCTCATTTGTATCTCAGTTAAGGAGACCATCAAAAAGTAATGAAGATCCACTGTTGTTGGAAGGAAATCTATGGAAAATACCTGAAAATCTGATGAAGGCCATCTTAAACTCATCAGTATTTGGGGGAAGAAGCAAGCTTCATCAAGTGCTTCTGCTCAGATACATGATAAAAGCTTGCAGTCTAACTTTTGGAATTCATCTGATGCAACTTCTAGTTTGGGAAAGCTGGTTAGAAACTACTTAGAAACAAAAATGCTTTGTGAAAAAAAAACAACTCTCTTTTTTTACTTCCTAGGCCCACCATCCATAGATGGAGGTTCTGACATCACAGAGTATATTGTAGAGATGGCAAACTCTGAAGAGGAGGAACACAGACAAGTCTATCAGGGCCCAGCATCTGAATGTGTAGTAACCAACCTGCTGCCAGGGAGAACATACTGCTTCTGGGCACGAGCAGCAAACAAAGTTGGGGTAACCACTGCACTCATCCAATTGGTTTGGGGTTTTGGTTTCTTTTTTTACACAAGAGCTAGTGATCTACTCTTTTCTTACCAGCCTGGTCATGTTTTGTAGCTTCTGTGTTGTATTTATGTTGAAGGAGCAACATTTCTTGCAGCAGTAAAAAAAATGATTTAAAGAAGATTCCATAAATTAGGGCTGAAGGAAGGACAGGATGTGCCTGACTAAGGGCATGTTCACTGTGTGTTGCATTTCTGTTGTTACTGGGTTAATGTCAGAACCAAATGTAATTAGTCCAAAGGTAGTGCTAAACATTCTCTTGCTCCTTTTAGTTATTTCTTTGCCCTGTGAAGAAACCCCTTAATGTTTATGCCTTAAGAAACTGCTGCATGACAATGAGCCTGGACTCTGCAGATCAGTGGTGTGGGAGCAGTCATGTAGAGAGGGGGATGCTCAAACAATGCCAGGTTTGAAAAAGGTTGGGATAAGTGTTTGTTGCATTAAAAAGTCTGGCTGAAATAGTACCCAGCTGCTTTTGGCAGCCAGATCCTGACTGCAGAGGAAGGAGGAGTTAAAAATCCATGGCAGTGGGAGGTAGCAGGATTACAGATACCCAGTAGGGAAGGGGCCAGTTTATAGAGCAAACTACTTAAAAGGAATTTTAAATGGTGCTGTGAAAACTAAGCACTGAACTCTTCTATTTATTTCTCTATCGAGTTAAATATACTTAGTTTTCTTCAGCTCAGGGGCTGGCACATCAGTTTTTGCTCAACTGCTGTTCATGCTGTTGTACTTCCTTGCAGTTTGGCCCCCACTCTGACAAAGCAGAGATCTCCACTGCTCCAGGACCTCCTGATCAATGCTGCAAACCCTTGATAACTTGTAAAAGTGCAACTTGTGCTGTGGTTTCGTGGGAGGTAAGTTTCAATCATTTTCAAGAATACAAAAGTTGACATTTGGCTTTTAGGCTTGTTAGGGACATGTGTATGAGGCACAGGGAAGAAACAACAGATGCTGAGGTGGAATTTTTTAAGCACATTCCTTTATCCAGGTGTACATTTGTCCTGTAAATTTTATCAGTTCTGAACTTCTATCTTAACTGAATAAATTGGGTGATATTTAGTTCCTCTCATGATATGGTAACTAATGGGTATTGAGTTCATCCAGGTGGTAAGAGATTGAGATTCATTCTCTGCTCTGCTCTGGAGACAGGCTGGGAGAGCTGGGGTGCTCAGCCTGGAGAAGAGAAGGCTCCAGGGAGACCTTAGAGCACCTTCCAGTGCCTGAAGTGGCTCCAGGAAAGCTGGAGAGGGGCTTGGGACAAGGGCAGGGAGGGAGAGGACAAGGGGGAAGGGATTAAGTCTGGAAGAGGGGAGATTGAGGTGAGACATGTGGGGGAAATTCTTTGGTGTGAGGGTGGTGAGAGCCTGGCCCAGGTTGCCCAGGGAAGCTGTGGCTGCCCCATCCCTGGCAGTGTTGAAGGGCAGGTTGGATGGGGCTTGGAGCAGCCTGGGCTGGTGGGAGGTGTCCCTGCCCTTGCAGGGGGTTGGATCTAGATGATCTTGAAGGTCCCTTCCAGCCCAAATCAGTCTCAGATTGAAAATTCTGGTTTGTTAACTAACTGTGTTGTTAAAGCCACATCTCTAGATGGACACCTCTTAACAAGCTGTCCTTGTCTGTGGCGAAGAAAAACTCGGGTTTCTACCCAGTGCTCCTGTTCCAGTGCCTGTCCAGAGTCGTGTGTGGTGAATGTGTGTGTCTGCAGTGGCTGAAGGAGAATTTATCACTTGCACCCACAGAGTCCCTCGTGCAATGGGGCAGAGATCAGTGAGTACAGGCTGGACTGGGGACAGGTGGAAGGATCCATGCATATCATTTACACTGGCCCCTGCCAGAGCTTTGAAGTCAAAGGTCTCACACCTGCAACCACCTATTATTGCAGAGTCCAGGTATGAAAAGCCTTTTGTTGTGTGTTACTGAGCAAATGAGCAGGTCCAGACAGCCTGGGGAGATCAAGGTGTGTGCAGCAGACAAGCTGTGGTGTCTCCTTCCAGGCCGTGAACGTCGCTGGAGTGGGGCTGTTTGGTGAGACTGGTGTGGTGACAACCCCAGCCTCTGTCCCTGCAGCTGTGTCACTGCTGCATCTACTTGAAGAAGACCAAATGGAGATTTCTCTTCCTCTCTCCACGTGCCTTGCAATTCAGTGGGAAGAGCCTTGTTGTCACGGGGCAGAGATCACTGGTTATAATATTGAGTATGGGGAGAAGCAGCTTGTGAGTGTTGGCAGAACCACAAGCCATGTTCTTGAGGACCTGCTGCCTGACACTCTCTACAGGTAATAACTCTTACTCTGAAACCACATCTGTAGGATTTTGAAGCAATAGCCTTGAGGGTGGTGTTTTACATTTGGATCAATCTTTTATTCATTTTTTTAGCCTGTTTCCCTCATTCACTCTGCAGCCCCAATAAAAACCAAAACCAATTCTCATCTCAGAACCTACCCAGGATGGTTTTTAGCAGCCACAGTTAAGGTGAACATTCTCTCTCACCAGCCAAGGTTTTATTCCAGTTTTTCTGGGCTTAGAATATTTTTATTCTGGAGCATTGCACAGAGTGGGATGATCAGGACCTCACCAGAAGAGGATGGATGTGCAGAGCAGAGCAGCTGTCCCTGGGTCTTAGGCTTGGCCAAAGCTTAGTCCAGATTATGGATCTTCAGCATCAATGGGAGACCAAAGGTTCAGGTGAACATGGAGGACCTGGGAGTTTGTTCACTGAATAGAACAAACCTGAACAATGCTGAGAAACCCTGAGGCTTCATTATACTCAAAAACAATGTAATGATATTGTCTCCTTTTGAAGTAGATTATTTTTGTAGCTAATTTCTAACTGCATTTTAGTTGCTTTATTGTTTGTGGTTACAGTCTTGAAAAAAATTTAACTCTTGCCTTCTTACCTGGCCTTTTTTTCAGGACCTCAGTAAATTAACCATACAGCTGCTCTTCTCACATTTCTAGAATTAGAATACAGGCTGTGAACAGCTTTGGAGTTGGGCCTTTCAGTCATTCCATTAAAGCCAAAACGAAACCACTACCTCCTGACCCTCCTCATCTTGAATGTGTGGTCTTCAGCTACCAGAGCCTCAAACTCAAATGGGGTGAAGGTCCCAGCAGAGCTTTAATTACCAACCCTACACAATTCAACTTGCAGATGGAGGACAGGTTTGGCAGGTAAGATAATCAGGACATGAAGGATATTGCAGCTTTACAACTAGACTTTGGAAGTATTCCCACCTTTCTTTGCACTTGTGAGTCATCTGGGCATCCCAAAGTTTGCCCCTCAGTTGGCATTTTTTGCATCTTATCTTCCAACCAGAAGTGCTGTTGACAGCTGTTGCACTAGTGTTGGACTTGTAAGCAGTGAATACTATTTACTGTTTAAATAGTAAGATCTTACCTTCTCCCTGTGCTCCTTCCAGTTCTTCCCTGTGAGGGTGGTGAGAGCCTGGCCCAGGTTGCCCAGGGAAGCTGTGGCTGCCCCATCCCTGGCAGTGTTGAAGGGCAGGTTGGATGGGGCTTGGAGCAGCCTGGGCTGGTGGGAGGTGTCCCTGCCCATGCAGGGGGTTGGAACTGGATGATCTTTCAGGTCCCTTCCAACCCAAACTATTCTATGATTCTATGTTGCCAATTTTCTAACTTCTTGGCAATTCCAAGCTGCAGCCCAGTTAGCACAGAAGGAAGGTGGGGTCACAGCTCTCCTGGGGCTGGGACTTACAGTGGATCTGGAGTGTACAGGGGTCATTCCTTGGTTCCAGTGGAGAGTCTGCCCATGGAATTTGGGAGGTAGCTGTGTGTGGCTGCAGTGCAGTGCCCTGGCAATGCTTCCTGAATGGAAATGAAGACCCCCTGGTACCTCTTGCTGATTTAATGCTGGTCAGGAACTGCTGGGGACAAGAGCAGAGCTCGAGCTGCCCCACCTTCCTCCTGCTTCTCTGTGGGTGCTGGGGCACCTGAGGTGTCTTGTCACTTGTGTGTGCCTAAGGTAGAGATGAAAATGTTCCACTTCATGATGCTGACATACACATTTGTGGTTCCTGACTAGTATTAATTTGTCTACATCCTGTTTTGTTTTTTTTTTCCAGATTTGTTACTGTTTATAATGGTCCTTGTCACACCTACAAGGTACAGCGACTCAGTGAATCCACTACCTACTACTTTAAAATCCAGGCATATAATGATGCTGGAGAGGGAGAGTTCTCTGAAGTTTATGCTTTCACTACAACCAAGTCTCCACCTGCATCTCTTAAAGGTGAGCTCACCCTGCACTGGAAGCTTCTGTAGGGTCTTCATGTACTAGATTGAAGGCCACAACCTGACTGTTCCCACTCCAGCCTCTTTCCAGGGCCTCTGTGGGACAGAGAACAGAAACCAGTTGTGATGGGCTTTACTTTATGGCATGAAGGGCTCATCTGGGGTGGGACCAGTGTGTGCTCACCCCCTACATCACAGCTCTCCCAGTCCTGACAGCAAGGATTTCCTCTGCCCTTTTTCAACTGAAAAGTAATTTTTCCAGGTTATCTGTCATTTGATGGAAGTCACAACAGCACATGGGGAAATGAAAACACAAATAATTCCTCTGCTCATCATTTTCTAATGTGAACATTCGAGACTGCCATGAGAGAGACTCATTCTGGAGCTCTGAATGCTAATTACCTGCAGGAAAATTGGCTGACTCAGCTGTGTCTGTAAGATGTAATTTCAGCCCTGCAGATAAATGCTGTTTTCTTGAGTGAGTTGAAAGTGCTTGCTCATCTGTACAAGCATGAGATGTCAGCAGCTCATTTGTCAGCTGGAAAATAAGTACAAGTGGAACCTTCAAATATTACAAGGATGGATTTTTTATGTCATGGAAGGGGAAACAAATCTTAATGGCTTAAAATTACTGTTACCTCTAGGCCATAAACAAATATATTGGGTAGACTTTTTGGAAAAGCTTTGGATTCTCACTGACCAGTCACTTGGGTTAGAACTGAAACCTTTTCCATGGAAAATGTAGCACAGCAAAGCTGCTCCAAGCCAGAGTGGGGAAAACTGCCCTGTTGTCACTGAGACCAGTGCTCATTTGCTATATTAACTGTGAAAATGAGTCACTAATAATTGGTGACTTGGACCCTTTTTTTTCTGATTGAAAAAACAGGGACTTTTGTAGAGACCATTGTTCTCTTTCTCTAAAATGCCAACAAATCACTTGTGTTGTTTTTTCTTTCCCAAGCACCCAAAGCAAATCAGCTGGAAGAAAACACTTATGAAATCACGTGGGAACCTTTACAGCCCATGAAAGGAGACTCCATTGTTTACATCCTTCAGCTTGCTGCTGGGAGGGAGTTTGATCAGGTACCTTGTATTTCACATCATAAACTTCAGGGGGTTTTATTTTGAATAAGTTATTGCAAAAGATGATGTCTGTGAAGGTTCACACTCTGGTGATGCTAGTGGAAGGGGTACTTTGCATTTTGGCAAGGGGGTCTGTACAGTCCTACTTCCAGGGGTGCTTCAGTTTGTGTCTCAGGCAGTTTCTCTCAATGAGGCTTAAGTTTGTGATCATAGAATCATGGAAGGGTTGGAAGAGACCTCTCGAGATCATTGAGCTGGATCCCCCAGAGCAGATCACAAGGGAACACATCCAGATGGGTCTTGAAAGTTTCCAGAGAAGGAGACTCCACAACCCCCTGGGCAGCCTGTCCCAGGGCTCTGTGACCCTCACAGCAAAGAAGCTTTTCCTCATGTTGAGGTGGAACTTTCATGCTCCACTTTGTGTCCATTGCCCCTTGTCCTATCACAGGCACCTCTGAAAAGAGACTGGCTCCTTCTTCTTGACACCCACCCTTCAGATATTTGTAAACATGGATAAGATCCCCTCTCAGTCTTTTCTTCTCCAGACTAAACAGCCCCAGGTCTCTCAGCCTTCCCTCAGAACACAGATATTCCAGGCCCTGAATCATCCTTGTAGCCTCCACTGGACTCTCTCCAGTAAATCCCTGGCCCTCCTGAACTGGGGAATCCACAACTGGACACAACACTCCAGATGTGGTCTCACCAGGGCCGAGTAGAGGGTGAGGAGAAACCTCCCTTGACCTGCTGGCCATATTCTGCTTAATGCACCCCAGGATACCATCGGCCTTCTTGGCCCCCAGGGCACATTGCTGCCCCATGGAGAACTTGTTGTTTACCAGGAATACCAAGGTCCTTGTCCAGCAGATCAACTCCTAACCTGTCCTGGTGCCTGGTGTTATTCCTCCCCAGGTGCAGGACTCTACACTTACTCTTGCTGAACCTCATGAGGTTCCCCTTTGCCCATCTCTCTCCCGTGGTGGGTCAGGACCCCTTCCAGCTCAGGGTCCTGCTGCTCTGCCTCTTCATGACATCCATGGTTGCCCCAGGTTGTTTTTTTCCCCTGTTGACCCTTGAAAAAGCAAGTGCCTGGTCAGACAGGCTTGAGGAGTCACTGCAGGATGCTTCTCCTTCCCTGAGCCTGGCAGCCCAGGTCTCTGTGTGGGGCAGCAGCAGGAAGCTTGGCATTACCCACCAGAAAACAAGTCATAAATCCTTCAGGAAGAAAAGCTGAGGTTTTTATTAAGTTGGCTTGAAGAGAAGGGACTCCAGGCAGCCTCCAGCTCTGCGGGTGTTTGAAAAATAGGCCGGGAGGTGTTGTGAGGAACCCCAGCTCAGGTGGGTCTCCCTTCTCCTCCTGCCCAGGTGTACAAGGGGCCCGAGTCCTCCTGCCGCCTCACAGGCCTGCAGACCAACTGTGAATATCGCGCCCGCGTCTGCGCCGGCCGCCAGTGCCAGGACCCTGCTGGCTGCCAGGAACTGTACGGACCCTACAGCCCCAGCACGGTCTTCTCATCTCAGAAGCAAGAGCTGGTCCCAGAGGGTGCTGCCCTCACCTCCCAGCTGGCAGAGACCAAGCAGACGCTGCGCGAGGAGCGCGTCATCGCCATCGTCCTGCTCTGCGGCTTCGCCGTGGTGGCCATCCTCTTTGCTGTGGTCATCCAGTACTTTGTCATCAAGTAGAGGCAGAGCTTGCTCAGCCCTCAGCTTTTTTCTTTTTTTTTTTCCTGCTTTTTTTTTTTTGTTGTGTACAGAAGCTATTTCGGGTATTTATGGTTAGTTCTAATGGAAATCCTGGCTGGAAATGTATCCCTGCCCGCGTTCCCCGCTGGCCGACGGCGAGGCTGGGCTGGCAGAGCCTTCCCACACCCTGAGAGCAGGTTCCTTGCTGGAAGGTCCTCTGTCAGCAGGCTCAGCTGTTCAACAGGACAGCAACAACTGCCTTAGGGTGCACACCGTGGGGGGGAAGGGGTGTGCACACACTCCCTCTCTCCAGATGGGAAGCCTGTTAGAGGGAGGAGGTGTTGGTAGGACAGGTCCTCCTGGAGTCCCACCTGGGGCAGGTTCAGTCAGGCCTTGCAGGTTGGAACACAAGGTGCAGCAACACCAACACTTTGGCTTCCAGCAGCACTGCATTGCAGAGCATCACTAGAGCAAACCACATCTCATCTCCTGCAGGAGGAGAAGCAGAATCTTGCCTTTGACTTCGCCATCTTGCTACTTTCCAGTTATTTTTTTCCCAGACTTTGGATCCAGTAATAAATCATGGGGGAGTGTTGAAGGTAGAGGGTGCCAGCATTTTTGAGAGATTCAATCCCAGGAAGTGTTTAGCAGGGTGTCATGCACACCCAGCCAGGGCCTGGGGCTGTAACAGGGCAGGCCAGGCCCCTTGGTACAACCATTTCTGCCTGAAATGCTGCCTGCTGGTGCTGAGCAGCTGGTGGCCCAACCCACATTTCACTCTCAGTGCCTGAGAGAAAAGTAATTTCCTGTGCTTCTGCTGAAAGCTTTGCAGTCTTCTCAGAACAGCACAGGTCTTGTCTTTAAGGAGAAAGAGTGCATTTATGATAAATGTTACACTATTTGGCTCAAACTGAGCAAATGTTGGTTTTTTTGTACTATTATTAACCTAAAAAATAAAAAAAGCTCCACCTGCTTTTGGATGCCCTTCTAACTTAATCTGAATGATCAAATTGTACATGAAAGAACTCTTTTTTTTTTATTATTAGATGACATTTATACAACGTTTTAAATGACTTTGCTATCCCAGGGGTAGCAGCTTCACATTCCATGGTTTTCTAGATGGGAATGTCCAGCCTGCTATGAACTTTTCTGAAGCTCATCCTGTTTGTCTGGGGATGGGGAGGGGGTTGGGGGGATCAGCTTCTTCTTCTTCAGAGCAAACCATTCTGAAAGCTGCAACTCCCCAGTTTCAAAGGTGGGTCTTCCCAAAAAAAGCAAACCCAAACCGTGGGCAACGTGCCACAGAAAAGCAGATTGAGCACGGGGCTTTTTTTGCAAAGACTTTTATCATAAGACATCAGAGAGCCCTGCACTTGGACGTGGGCTGTTGGATGTGTCAGTGCTGCAGGCTAAAGTGTTTCCAGTCGTTAATTAATCACTTTAAAAGGGTCTTTCTCCTAATGGCAGTTGATGAATCATGTTCCGTTTCTAGTTCTTGTATTTCAGATGTGGAAAAACCTAAATTATGACCTAGTCTCTCTTCATACTCTTTATAAAAAAAACAACAACAAAAAAGTAGATTTATGGTGCAATCTGAAATTAATCTTTTCAAAAATATACTCTTCATTTTGTACTCTATTTATTTTGATTAAAAGTCCTTGGGGGGTGGGGGGGAAAGAGGGGGAAGGAAAATAAATGTATGTTTGAATGTATTGTTCTACTTGTAGCAGAACTTTAAGTTAATCATTTATTATTATATCATAGAAATCTCTCCCTCCAGTGTTGGAAAGAGTTTTATACAGATGTTAGTCTTTAGTTTGCAGGAGAGTTTTTGACAATCTTGTCTGTTTCTCTTCCTGGCCTCCTTTTAGCAGATAAAGCTGCCTCCAGCAAAACCTCTTGTTGCCAAAGGGTTTGGCTCTTAAAACAAAGCCTGGAGAGGTTTCTTGGGCAGTGATACTCCTGATGGTTTTTAAAAGAGAAATTAGGATGGCAGAGTAAATACTAACACAAGTCAGGACTCCTAAAAAGTCAACAGAAGTTCTTCTGGAATTGCCACAGAACAGTCCAGACACCACCAGACACCACGTTCCAGAACCATGTACCCTCGTGGCATTAATGTCTTTAGGTATCTTCAGTTTCCTTGTATTGTAATTTTGAGGTATCTCAAACTTATGTTAAAGCTGCCATGCATTGTATTACTAAATTGTAACTATCAAATAGATAATATATTTAATACAGCCAATAAATAATACAAATGTATTCAGATTTGACTGCCGGGCTGGTTGTCTGTTCTTCCTGAGTTTGGTTAGTGTGTGGTTTAAGGTGGAGAGACTTTGTGTTCTTCTCTGTCTTTAAGAGTTGCCTTAAAAAAACCCTTTCTGGCAGCGATTTGCAGGGGCCTCAGCCCAGCACTGTCCCCCTGCTTGCTGGGAGCCACCAGCTGGCCTGGCTTCAGCCTCCTTGGCTTCTGTGGGAGCAAAGTCACTTGAATTGCTCCACAGGTCTGTGCTGAGCTCAATGTCTGGTCCTCAACACCACAGGCAAGTCCCTTCACAGGAGCTTTTGGAGAGTGAAACCCGTGCTGGTGAGTCCTGTGAAGAGCAGAGCTCAGCCTGCCCCTGTGTGCAGGAAGAGTGTGAATCCACTCCAGCTTCCCTGAACTGCTCCGGCCCTACCTGAGGGAACACCCGGTAGCCGAAAGGAGCAACCTCAGAACTTGTTCCAGACTCCACGTGCACCACCTGCCCGGGTTTTATCCCACGACACAGCTGGGGTGGTGGGACTGCAGCAAGTGCTGAGCAGCTGATGGGGAAGAGCCACGTTCTGTCCCGGGGGGAGAAGAAACCTCCTCACTGCTGCTCAGGCTCCTGCAGCACCCACCTCCCCTGCAGTGCTGGAGGTTGCCCAGGGCTCTCCTGAAGCTGCGTGACATGAGGTTGTGCAGCCGGGGGTTGATGGAAGCCCCCAGGTAGAAGAGCGGGCGGGTCCGGGTGTTTTGGGCCCGGGAAACGGCGGGTCCGGGTGTTTTGGGCCCAGAGAAGCGGCGGGTCCGGGTGTTTTACGCCCAGAGAAGCGGCAGGTCCGG